TTTTATAGTACCTTACCTTTATCGGTAATTACTTTCTGCCTTTCATTATCTTTGTTTCCATATTTAATCCCCTACATAAGCATAAAGTCCCCAGGGTCAAGGTCCATGCCTTACCTCCATTTAAACTGTTTAACACAATGCCATGCACATACTAAGCACCCTAATAGAATTAAACAAATGGTCTGGGGGTTTGCAAAGGAAAGATGCCCATTAAAAGCAACTCCAGAGCCCTGGCTTTGCTAATAATACCTCCCAAATGACCTTGGACCTCAGGCTTTTAGTATGTTCAGGTATAAGGTTAGGACAGAAGGTCAAACCAGGTGTGTGGGGGAGGGTGTGTGTGTGTGTGTGTTTTTAACTATAGGCTGTTATCCATTAGCTGGCTGTAATATTAATTTGAGCGTTAAAATTCAGTATTTTTTTAAAGCGGAATGAAGTATGTTCATGTGTGTTACAAACAGTGGTGTGCTATAAATGGGTAACAGTTAACTAACTATGGGAATAAGGGGAAACATTTGCTGATGACCCTGGTGTAAATACTCCCACCATGACCAGTTTCAAGTTACCAACATGCTGTGTCTGAACGGGGAGCTAGACAGGAAGAGAGATGCACAACTGCTCCACAAGCCATTATAAGCCAACTCAGCACAGCCCTGAAAAGATGAGTACTGTTTCACCAAATTCCCCTTCTTTCCTTTCAACTTCATGTGTGTGTGCATGCTGAATCAAGACATAAATGTATTTCTCACTGTATTGTGGGACACAGTCAAGAGTTCAATACATGTTTGGCTAAATCATCTCCTAGTCTCCTTCACGCATACTACATAACTCACTAAATCTTACTCTTGGTTACATATTTAGTCTCTTCCCCACCATAATTCATATTTCTTTTCAAAAATGAGAGTAACAGATGTCTATTGATATCACCAGAAGGCAAATTACAGGGAGTAGGAATCAGTTTAAGGAGCTTCATTCAGTCGAGGGCCAAGGTTCTCAGACCTCAGACTTTGTTCAGCTACACACACCTGAAGGATACAACACATTCCTACTAGTGGCAATGGCTCACTTAGCAAAGGGCTGGGGCAGGAGGGGTAGGGAGAAAGAAATCTATAGTATGTGCTCATGCCCTCACCCAACTGAGAACCCAAGTACAGAAAGTCAGTGCAGTAAAAAGTAAACTTTTCATGCCTGATGTTTCCCAAATTCCCCAGCACAAGCCTGCGTTCCTCAGTGGGACCTCTGTTACTCAGAATCCCCTACTAGAATGAAGCTCTTGCCATGAACTAGAGACTTGTAGTTCTTGCTGAATTTAGAATAGGTAAGGGGAAAAATAACACAACAAACAGTTTTTAGACTTCATATTCCAGGAAAATCAGGCTTCTATTGAAGAAAAAAAAGACTGTCTTTTTTTTTTTTTTAACTCCTTATTTAAGCTTACTAAACCGAGTGAGAAGTTTCTTGAATATATTTTTGGCTGTACTATGTCTATCACAACACAGCCTGTAACCAGATTTTTCATGAGTATTTATAAAGAACTGTGTTTTCTTTCTTTTTATTTTTTTTAGCCCAAAAGCACAGGCAAAATGTTTTCTATTTTTAAAGCTGTTTAGAAAACAAGAAGACCCAGAATTTCAAGAACACTAATAATCTTAGCCCAAACTAACTCTAAATCAACTGAATATATGCCTAGAAATTTTCCAGAAAAATCCCCCAAAATTACCCCCCCCACACATAATCAAATGATAACAAAAAAAAGAGTCAGCCTAACCATAAACTTGCTATACACAAACAATTATGACATTCTATCTGTGGAATAACAACCATATGAAAGTAAATAAAGTTTAAAAAGGAGAATGTTGAGATGCAAGTTCTGCTTAATTCACTAACTCTTTCCTATTAAGGTTCACTGATAGTCAGTCACACACCCAGTTCAAATACTAACTAGAAAGTCAAAATTCTTCCCCATTCTAAAAAGCCAGGAGGCAAGCAATGTCTTTCTCTATAACATCAGTGTTAAAACTCTACTCTAAAAAATGAGTATAGGTCGGGTTAGGTGGCTCAGCCTGTAATACCAGCACTTTGGGAGGCCGAGGCAAGTGGATTGCCCGAGACCTGGGGCTCGAGACCAGCCCAGGCAACTTGGCGAGACCTCATCTCTACAATAAATCAAAATTTAGCTGGGTGTGGCAGCACGCACCTATAGTTCTGGCTACTTGGAAGGCTGAAGTGGAAGGATCACCTGAGCCCAGCAGGTTGTGTCTGTGGTAGCTATGAGTATGCACTCCACTCCAGCCTGGGCGATGGAGTGAGACTCCAATTCAAAAAAAAAAAAAAATGAGTATAAACCAAGCATGATGGCTCACGCCTGTAATCACAACAATTTGGGAGGCTGAGATAGGAGGATAGCTTGAGGTCAGGAGTTCAAGACCAGCCTGGAAAACAAAGTGAGACTTCATCTCCACAAAAATATCAAAAAATTAGCCAAGTGTGGTGGCACACACCTGCAGTCCCAGCTACTCAGGAGGCTGAGGCAGGAGGCCTGCTTAAGCCCAGGAGGTCAGGCTGCAGTGAGCCATAATTGTGCTACTGCACTCCAGCCTGGGCACCAAAGTGAAACCCTGACTCAAAAAAAAAGAAAGAAAAAGGGGAAAAAAAGTATGTTTTACAACAACTCAGGCTCAAGACTACTTTCTACACCTCCACTGTCTGTCATGGTAAATGCTCATTAGACCATCCCCATTAGAAATCCCTGAGCAGTGTCTGAAATTCCAGCACCCAAATAGCCTTGGAGAGCTGGTCATCCTCAGAAGCCATGGTTGACCCATTTATGTAAGAGCTACAAACATGTAGCAATTCATTAAAACTTGTGAGAGACAAGCAAAGCAGCTCTGTGCCTGGGAATCCCATAGCTCTCCAGCATCAAGTGCATTCTCCAAACACACTCCATTCAGTCACAATCACCCCCACACCACTAAAGTCCGGTAGGCGAGAATGTAGTCCCAGCTATATACCATTATATGTTTGCTACTTGGCCACTACTCTCTTCAGAGTCAAACTCTTAGAACCTAGCTCTCTCTTACACATATTATTTTTACTTGGCACAACAGAATTCCCTCTTCTGACTACTCCAAAAGAATGGATAAAAAGACTTTCAGCCTTAATGTTGTGTCATCTGAGAGTTCAAAAAATATACAGTAACCGAGCAATTTCAAGTTTGGGTTAAGGCAAATAAAAATATTACATTTTAAAAGTCACTGGTTTAGAACTGGTGAGTTGATGAACATGAAAACTCCTGTTTCATATGCCCAACAAAACTGTGCCATTCAAAGAAAAAAAGTCATAACTATTAAGGTAAAAAAAAAAAAAAGATGATGATCTAAATTATGAGACAATTATCAAAGAAACAAAAATTCTCAAAACATCACAACTGTAACATATAGAAATTCCCATCAAATAAGTCAGGTCACTTTACAGTCAAGACTTCACTTTACAGTCAAGTCTTTTTAGGTTGGTTTGTATATTCATTATCTGCGCCAATAGTACTGAGACTTAGTAACTTGTTTCCAGCTTTTCTGAGTACAACACAGGCCATATACTATGTTCACAAATAAGCTCAGTCCTACTTCATCTACTTCTCCCCAGATGACATAAAAATATGTGATATTGGAGCATATCTTGAACTGATTTAGTACAGACACTAGTCTAACTCAAAGTCTTAGCTAACCTTTCTAGCAAGTGAACATTTACTACAATTTGGGATTATAAATACATAAAGTTCATCTAGTCTTTCCCCTTTAAAATCTCCTGTCAATTGCATAAAGGACGCTCTACTGAGAAAATGAATCACAGGCCAGTGTTCAGGGCCAGCGGCTTGTGAACCAGCAATTTCCATGGGCAAAATCCCCTTCCAATTTGCCCACAAGCAAACTTCAAGTCCGTTTCTTCTGACATCTCTACAGTAGTGCAGAAGACACCAAATATAAACACGACTATAAGAGAAGTCAGAGGCTTTTATGACACCGTGTTTTCAGAAATGTCACAAGCAACTATTTACTTCCCACCATGCACAAGAACATTTAAACGTACTATTAAAAAACCCTAAACTCTCCAGTAAAAATGCAGATCTCGAAATCAGTTCCCAAACTCCGCTTATATCAAGCCAGCAAAAGTTCTCCTTACTATTAGTGTCAGGAGGTTGGCATTTCAGTTTACTTGCGTGACAGTATCCACCCTGCAAGGGGCCGCCTAAAATTTGGTACACTACTAGTAGAGAACCCTACCTGAGGGACCCCAGGAGAAGACACGGGCACCCGGACACCCCAGGATCAGAAGCCAAGCTGCGGGCCACCCCCAGCCGGCGGCCCCTTCCACATGCTGACGCGCTGCCCAGCCCTATACCGTGGGCCACCGGTGCAAAGTACCAGCCCTGTGTCAGAAACTGACTCACTTATCAGGACATCGAGCACCCACAACCAGGGTGGGGGCCGGGGGGGGGTTGTCTCGGCCCGGCGGCCAACTCTGAAGCGGGGCGCTCCTGGCAAGTAGGAATATGCCCAGGGTGCTGCCCATCCCACGCCGCGAAGCCACAGCACCCACGCAGGAGCCCAACAAAGTGCGGGCGGAGGCCGGGGAGGACGCGGGAGAGCCGCGGTCCCAGCAGAAGCCTGCGCGGGAGCAGAAATACCTCACACACGCACACCCCCCGGACGAGGGCCGCCGGGACCCTGAGCCCGGACGCGGGGCTGCCTGGACCCACGGCCGTGGCCACCGCGCAGCGGCGCAGGCAGCAGTGTCAGGGGGGCACAGCGGGGCCGGGCCACCACCCGTCATGCAGGCGCCCCCCGGGCCGCCAGGCACTGTCCCCGCCCGCGCCCTCCTCCTCGCGGCCCCCGCATCCCCGCCCCGGGGCCCCGCCTCGACCTCCCCCGCTCAGCCCCGACGGTGGCCCCCCCGGCAGCCGCGGCAGCCGTCGGGCCGTCAGGAGGCCGCCCTCGCCTCACCTCCTCAGCCTCCGCGGGCGCAGCCGGAACAACAACTCCCGAGG